GCTTCTAGAACAGCATATTCAAAGGGTTTATGTTATAAGAGGTCTGGTCAGAAAGCGGTGAGGGCAGTCAGGGCTCAGGGCTTTGTAAGGCCCAGCAAGCATTAATGTGTTTGCTCGGAGTGAGATGGGAACCACTGAAGGATTTTTGCAGAGAAGTAAGGAGATCAGGTGGAAGGAATTTCTCTGGTCTCTGTGCTAGAGGCCGGGCCAGGGCCTGTGAGACCATCAGGACACCACTGCAACAGCCGCTTGGAACAGGCTGGGGTGGCAAAGTCACATGGCTTGCGTCTTGGAGTAAAGTTGGAGAATGGAGGTGGCAGGACGCGTCGGAGACCTGGACACTAAACACGAGAAGAGTGGAAGGTGACTTGCGTCCTTGGAAGGGTGGAGTCGCCGTGAACGGGGTTGGGAAGAAGCCCGGGATGAGTCGGCCTCAGGGCGAGAGCAGGAATGTGTTTCGTGCGTGCGATGTTTAGGGCGCCTCGGGAGCAGCTGGTGGTCAGGAGAGAGGTCAGCGTGAGACAGAAGTGTGGAGTCACAGTGCGGATGATCCGGAAGAAGCGCCCCGGAGTGGGCGCTCTCGCTGGAGGAGCGGGGAGAAGGAGGGGCCGCCCGGGAGCAGAGGGGCGGGCGGTGGGGCTGGGGTGGAGGGCGGAGTGAAGCTGTCCCAAGGCTGCTGTCTGAGCCGCTTCAACCCGCCCACCTCCCTCCTCGGAACCGCTTCTGCTCGGGCCTTTGGGAACAGGGTGGCCCTTGGGGAGGTGGCTAGGGACAGCCAGACTCCACTTCACAGGCAGGCCCTTGGCGTGGTCCATCTTGAGTCCTGTGCAGCGTCCCTAGAAAAACTGCCTTCTTATGTCCTCTCAGCAGCTAATTGATTCATTCACTCACTCACTCATGACAAATCCTCCTTAGTGAGAGTCCATGTGTGTACAGGCCATGCTCTAAATGTTAATTATGCACAATTCTTTTCTTTTCTGTTTGTTTGTTTTGGGGTTTTGGGGTTTGTTTTTCTTTTGAGACACAGCCTTGCTACGTAGTCCAGGCTGGCTTTGAACTCACGGTGATCCTCCTGCCTCGGCCTCACAAGTGCTGGGATTACAAGTGTGCACCACCACACCCGGAAGTACAATTCCTATTGGATTCATGCTTTTAGTCCCATTTTAGAGATGAGGAGCTTGAGATGAAATAACTCGTCCCGAGTTGTATGGGTAGAAATTCAAAACCAGTTTGCTTCTACTCCGAAGCTCACAATCTTTGCCTTTGCCATGATTTCTCCTCCTGTCTTTTAGTCACTCAATCAATATTTGTGGAAGGTGTGCCAGGTCCCAGCCACACACTAAGTGCTGGCCCTATGCGGACGGACACACAGGCTCCATCTCTGCTCTGCTCTTACCCACATTTCCCACTTGGATAGCAGAGCTTACATCCTCCAGGTCCCGAACCAGGCCTTTTCTAGAATCTTCCCTGCTCCCTCCATCTTGGTTCCTCCTTTAGAAGAAGCCTAATAAATACTTTCTTACATATTCTTGCAGGACACATTTTTGAGGGAGGGAGCCATTTCAGGTTGAGCCTTGTACATGAGACATTATGGAAACCAAGGGACCAGGGGAGGGTTGAACTTGCCCTCACGTGGGAGCTTTCAGCCCCAAACACTTTGGTATTTTGTGCTTGTTGTTGCCAAAAGCAATTTAGGAGGGGGCTGAGAAAGAAGGTAGATGAGAACAAGGCCAGGTATGATGTGTTGTGTTCCACTGATGCAAACTGGCACTGGTGTGATTTTGAGTTAGTACACACATGGAGCTGGGTGCCCGAGGGAAGGGGCCTCTCCGAGGAGAGTCAGTTTATAAGGGAAGAGAGTTCCACTTCTGAGGGGCAGTGGGAGGCAGATGTAGTACCCTTCGGTGCCTCTTCCCTAACAAAGCACTGCCCATCTCATGCAACCAAGGAGACTCAGTTTAAAGAACACACACACACACACACACACACACACACACACACACACAGAGCAAAGGAGGCTCTTCTATTATATATCCAGAAAATATGCAGTGGCAAATTAGATGGAGGTCAAATGTGAAGCCTATGGTGTCTTTATTTTTTTTTTAACCATGCTCTTGAAATATCCCTTCAGCATGAGATTATGTGATTAACAAAAATGGAAGTATTAGTTTCTAGAACTTTCTGGAAGGATCTAGAAGAGAATGCACATATAGAACGAACTGATGGAACCTGATCACTGTCAGATTCAGCTCATGTCTGAGGACCATCCATGTTCCTCTTCTCTCATCACGCAAAGAAAATTATTGAGGTTCAGAGTCAGAAAGTACGTGCAGCCTCCAGATGGAGGATTCTCTTTGTAGGTTCTGCCACTTAGAACTTCATGATCCTGGAAAGCTCCTCAGCTTTTCTGAGCCTCAGTTCCCTCATCTAGGACATGAGGATTAGGATTCCTATCAGATAGGGTTGTTGAGGAGCTTAAATACAAGGACAAGAACAATATCATCATTGCCTTGTAGGTGAGCAATAATGGCAGTACGTGGCCACTTAGTATACTATTAAGGAAACTAAACCAAGACAAAAAGAAAAACACTCTCTCAGTTAAAGAGCTTTGATCAGAAATTTTGTCCTTCCTCCACAATCCAGTCTTATGCTGTAGACTTCCAATCATCTCTCATGTTGAACACTACTATGTTAGTGACAGGGCATCCAAAGTGCCTGAGAAGCAGACCAGTGTGAGTCTTCCAGCAGCCCGTAAACTGGGCTTCATCATCCCATAGCCACGTGAGCTCATTTGTGCTCAGAGGGTTAAGTAATTGGCCAGGAGCCTGGCTACTGATCTGCAGGGACCAAGCTCCAGCCTGGGTCCATGTGACCCTAGCACACTGGGGGCAAAACCAGCCACCCCATGGGCTGGAAAAGATCTTAGGAAGCTTTGAGTCTGGTGGGTTTTCCAATATTTACACCATCCCAGACCAGACCTGGGTTTTTATTTAGTGAAAGAATTTAGAGTTTTTTCCTATCTCAGGACTCTCATGCTGAGTTACTGGCTGAGTAGGGAAGTGACAGAGCTGAGGATCTGTGTACTTCGTAAGGGACTATTTCTTTCTCCTTTCTTGACTATAGGGAGCAGGAGAAGAATGTTGATCAGCTTTCTGTCTCTGCACCAAATACCTGAGTTAAACAACTTCGTAAGGGGAAAGGATTATTTGGCTCTGGCGTTCAAAGGTTTCGGTCCATGTCACTGGGCCCTGTTGTATGGGCCTGTGGTGGTGCAGTACTTCACGTTGACAGCACGGTACTGAGACCTTCTTCTCTGTATCCCCCTCAGGGCCTCACCCTCAGTGACCTCACTCCCTCCCACCTCTTAAAGGTTCTGTCCCTCCCAATAGCATCCCAGGCTGAAGACCCAGCCTTCACTTCGTGGGCCTTTAGTGGACTTTGCAGATCTGAACTGTAGCAGGGAAGGTCTGAGATGTTGGCTCGATTCTCCTGAAGTTGACGATAACCTTCTCAGGTGAGATCCAGGACCCCATCCTACCATGATACCAAAGTTTTTGAGATACTGCGACATGTCAAGCACCGTCCCAGTTATTGGAATTAAAGATAGTCATGCAAAGATAGTGCTGTCTTTGCTATTTCCTGCCTCTGGAGGAACCTGGCAAGTAGTAGAAGCTGAGAGTTGTGAATAAAGACACAAATTATGATATCAGAACAGTTGCTCTATTTCCTCGATTTGGAGTATTTTTACCAGTGAGAGACACCTGACTTAATTCCTCCATTTAGGCCTAGACTCAAAATCCACCTAGAGAGAAGGGCCTCCCCTGACCAACCCATCTAAATCTCACTGCCATCTTCTCCTATCCCCTGCCTTGGTATCCTTTTCCTCTCTAATTTTGCACAAGCAGCTTTACCCTCATTTTCCCCACCAGGAAGGCACCAGAACACCAGCCAGCAAGAGCCTCTCACCAATCAGTGATGAGGTATGAATGAGTAATGACCATGGATGAATGCAAAATCCCTGGGAAGAGCTTAGCACAATGCCTGGCACAGGGCAAGTGGGAGGTAATTATGAGTTTGCTGAGTTGGTGATGATACCCACAGGCTGCAGTGAGGCTGTTGTATTTCGGGTTCATCTCTGACAGCCCTCTGTGTGCTCCTGTGGCTGTCCTGTCACCCCACCTGCCATTCCTCTCCAAGCCCCCCAGAGATGCTAAGGAGCAAAGCCTCTGCCAACACAGGCTCTTCATTTTTACTCTTTGAGGAACAGTTCATCCTCTTTCCTTAACTCTTCAAACACTTCAAATCCTTCCTCCGAGTGTGTAAATGACTGGAGCAGTCTCACCCATGTATCCAGTCCAGCCCAGCCACCTGACCACTCTGTTTCTGGAACCTACATCCTTTTGCTGTCATACACCTGACAGGTCTCCACTCTGCCCCATTCTGTTCCTAACGAGGGTCTCCCAGAATCCAGCTCCAATGTCACCTCCTCTGGGAAGATCAACCCCAGATCTCTGAGCAGTTTTTACCTCTTCCCACTCGGTTTCCATGATGTCCCTCATCACAGGGCACAGTTCTGACCAGAGCTTTCTCCCTCCACCTAGAAAGGTGTGCAGCGGCAGGCCTCCTGGACGTGGAGGGTGAGTACAGGCAACTCTGACGAGCATTCAAGCCTGGGGCCTCTGCTGCCAGAGTTCCTGGGGTCCAGTTCTGCCTCCCCTTTTATTGTCTTGACAACTTACTAAATCACATAATTCACAAGGCATGGAACCCGAAAACAAGGATGCTAATTATGATGTTCTCATAAGCATCAGATAGCACAGACCACGGATAAAACTGTAAAGGGGGAATCTGGAATAGGTAACATAGGAGGCAACTTGGGGTGGCTGGAATTGAAAGTCACCTGTAGACATTTCACCCACGGATATAGGGAGGTAGGTTTATGAGGAGCCAGGAGTTCTTTTGGAATCAGAGTTACAGAAAGCAAACCATGGTTGAACATATTTCAGAGAATGCCCCGAGCTTTATTATCCTTGTTAATTCAACAGAAATTGCCTTATACCAACATCACCAAGCTGGCTTTTCAGCTGGAGGACAGGTCTCCCCACCTCTGAGCCCATAGCATTGTGAGCCATGAAAACACACACTGAGCTGACAGTCTCTGAAAAATCACACCTAAGGAGGTGAATCCAAAGCAATTCTAAAACAAACACAAAATTATAAAATCTGTTTAAATATTGAACTCTGTACCCATGCACAAAGCCCCTTCTCGTGGGAACCTGCAGAGCCTTTCATCAGACAGAGGGGCAAAGGACATTGTGTCACTTAGTGGCACCGTTGGTTCTCTGGCCTGCCTAGCAGGAAGGTCCCTGAAACATGTTGAAGAGGAAGGTGCAGAGGGAGGTCCAGGACTCCCCACAGAAGTCCAGTGCGATCTTTCTCTGCATTTCCACGTCTGGGTCATCCAAACACTTGGGCTCTCCGGGGCTCACTGTCCTGGTCACTGCTGGGGTAGAGGAGATGTCTTCTTTGGCCTTGTGTGGATCCTTGGAGGGAGTCCCCTTGATGCTGGGATGCTCCATAGGGGAGAGCTTTGGTTCCATTTCCCTGGGCTTCATGTTCTCAAGCACAGTGGAGCTTACCAATTTGAGATTCGATTCTGGAAAGTTCTTTTTGCACACTTTGGCCTTCAGGACATTCTTTGAGTCCCCGCAGATGTTCTTCTGTTTGCGCAGCGTCCGGGCCATCTGTTTCCAGTAGACCTTCTTGCTGTGGCGCTGCACGCACTCGGTTGGGTTGCCAGCAAAGACACAGGAAAACTTGTGCTGTGCTTGAGTGCACTCAACCCTCAGGGCAGTTTCCAGCTGCTGCTCCATCACGGCCCATGTGCAGCTGGCTCCTTGGTCTCTGCTGACAAACTTGCCGCTGGTCGTGGACTTGGAGGCTCTGCTTTGCTGCTTACCCTGGGCCTTGTCCAGGGGAACCAATGAGTCCCCATCTGTTATGCTGCTCTGCCTGTGCTTTGCTCCATTTTTGACCTTTTGCGTGAGCATCTGAGTGGCCAGGAGGAGGAGGGAGAGCAAGGTGAGGTTGTGGATCCTCATGGCTTCAGCTGGGCAGGCACCTGTGGGAGCAGAAGGAGGGGCATCAGTGCCGGGCAGTGCAGGGCTGCAGGCTGAGCTCCTGCCACCCTGACATGTGCAGCCTGCTTTAGGGGCGACCAGCGATCTGTCTGACTCTTGGCATCGCTAAGTGACCAGCTTGTCTGCCCCCTTCCCACTTGACCTGAGTCTTGAGTGTCAGAAAACTGCCTTTCTCCATCGTCACCTGCACCTCTGTCTGAGCCTTGTGAGCTCTTCCCCTCAGTTGAGCCTGCATTTGCCCACTCCATCATTCACCATGGAGAAGCGCCGATTGCACTGCAACCCCCCATGCACTGCAGCAGCTGCCAAACACATATGCAGAATAAGAGGACCTCAGGCCCAAAAGAGCTCATAGGCTCCACTCTGACAGATTCACAGGGCATTGACTGCAGAATCGGTCTCATCCCTGTCCTCAGCTTGATCTTGGACAAGCCTCTCTCCCCGTCTAGGTCTTAGGTCCTTTACCTGGACATCAAGGTGTTAAGTGAAGTTACCACAAGCTTAAATATCACGTGATTCCTCTTATTTGAGAAACCCAAAGTATAAATAAATTAAAGAGCAAAACAAAAGATGGATAATAGGAAACAGGGAGCTAGATCTTTTGCAAATAGGAAGGGACTAAGAGATGAAGGGAGGGGAAAGGAACATAAAAAAATGAAGATGTGTTATGTACACGTGCCATCTCCATGCAGGGACTGTAGCCCTTAGGTACTGCAAACATGTACTAATAAACATAAAAATTAAACAAATGAATGAAATAACCACCAAACAGTCTTCTGGCTCCACTGCACTGGATTTCTACCTCGCAGTCTGCTCAGGCACAGATGCCCACAAGATGAGAAACAATGTGGAGTCATGGCAAAGCCACAGAAAGTGTTGACTCAGAGGTCATGCGTGCAGAGGGCTGGACACCCTGAGCTGGGTGGCACTGTGGAGTAGAGGAGGATTTCAGGAAAAGGCAGTCCCAGGAAGGCATGGGATGGGGAGCTCATCTGACTTCACTAGGCAAAGCAGTCAGGGTGGAGAAGGTGAATTTCCACTGGATGGTTTAGATCTCTGGGCTGAAGTCAAGGATCATGGCTAACTGACTTCTGGAGCCCTATGGTGTCACAGGGCTGAGCATACAGATGGCCCTTAATCAATGCTTTCTGAAAAAAATAGTATTGAATGAGAAGGGCGCCCTTCAGTATCACATTAAACTGCATGGATTTTCCTCAGGTGGACAACACACACTCACGCTTAAGGGGCAAAGGAAGCCCATGTCTAGTTAACATCTTCTGTATGCTCTGCCCTGGTCAAATACTTGATTCTCAGCTTTTCCAGTCCAGCAAAGAGCCCTGCCACAAAGCTGTGAATGTGACACCTCAGGTGACTGCTGTGTCAGATAAGGCTCAGGCAGAGAAGTGAGTTACTCCAGAGCCCCTAAGCAGGCAGTTTCAGAGCCGGGCCAGACAGCAGAGCCCTATCTCACCTCCCATTCTAATGACCTCTTACTTTGCTCCTGATGTTCAGAAAACACTGGCAAAGCACAGGAAACCATACAAGACACGTATCACGAGGGTGAGACAGCTCCCAGAATCTGCACTCTTATTTTCACACGGGATTTTGTTTGAGAAAAGGGGCAGGTCTCGGGAATGGCTGTGATCTCATTTGCACCTGGGAGTTTGTCTGCCCCTGGGACTGGGAAAGGAAGAGGGAACCACAGGAGAGGAGGTGGAAGCAATGAAGGGTGAGACAGGATTGAGTCCGGCAGGTGGAGACTCAGCCATTTCTCAGGGCACTGGGACTCAGCCCCTGCCTGGCCCTGATGGCATCCAGGGCCTCACGTCACCTACGAAAGCCTGAAGATGGAGAGGCTCTTACCTTGCTCTGTGTGTGCAGACCCAGCACCGTCCCAGATGCGTGAGTGAGTTGCAGGCTTCCAGCTGTCTTCGCTGCAAAGCAAGCAGGTTCGGCTATTTATACAGGAGAGCAGGCCCACAGCCACGCCCCTCGCAGGGAGCCAGTTCCTGCAGGGAAAGTGCTGGGTGGAATCCAGCGAGCAGGGAGTGCACAGATGCAGGCCAGGAGACCCGCTACCTGCAAGCCCTTCCCGGCGGCCAGGACAGGAGGCCGGCTCCGCCTCCCCAGGACCCTCCCCAGTGCCACTCCGAGCAGTGGCGGAGGGAACAAAATTATAGTAAGTACAGGACTCCTACCTGTGGCCTACGCCCACGCCCTTGCCTCTCTCGCCTCCTGCGTGAGGTGGTGTGCAGTGTGCCCACCGTTGTACATAAGCACAGGGTGGCACTGGGCAATGCAAAGCCTTGTCCAGTGGGAAGAGGGGAATCCTGACACAGGCATGGCTCTCAGCAGCCACTGTCTGATCTCTTCCCCTCTCCAGTCTCCATAAGTGTTTGGAGAGTGAGTGACTGATTGTAGCTTCTTAGTCTGTTTTCATTGTGCTAGCTGAAGTTCCTGTGAGGGTAGAGGGTCCCACGGACCCTGAGAACCTGGTAAAGAGGAAATTCCCAACATGGAGATTTCTGTTGGGAAAAATCACCTTCAGGTCATGTGCGGGGGATTCACCTGCTAAAGCAGAGCCCCGTATCAAAATGATCGGCTGGGGAATCTTTGTGTAGCTTCATTGGACAGTGTCCAAACTGCCAACCCCCTGGACCACCGTCTTCCCCCTCCGCTGTGTGGGTGACAGCAGTGCCTCAGATAAGGCTGCACACTGAATTCCTTTACTGGAGATGAGCTGTTAACAAAGTGAAGCGGGACAGTTCTGGTTCCTAATGAGAGTTTAAGCTGCATTCTTTGAGAACAGACACTTGTATGAGTGCATATTAGATGGTTGGAGAATGTTCCTCATTTGTGAGGAATGTGGTATTTTTTATTACCAGTAACTGAATGCACATCCCATCCAGGCTGGTCGCTGGCAGGGATTCAGGTTCAAAGCTAATATGACTACCAAGTGTGTTCCTCCAAACGGCTGCTTAACCAAGAGGGCTGGCCTGTTGGTACAATACGATATGATATGATACCATAAGATGTGATATCACATGACTGAGTGTGTGGGTTCTCAGGAGAGCCTTTAAGTACAATATTATCAGGCCAATTTAGTAAAGAATCAATGCCTTCTTCAAAAGTAATCTCAGCATCACGAGTTTTTAAAATGCTGACTTGCGATGTTGAAGCAATACTCATTTCTCGCTTCAGATAATATCCACTAAAAACTACCCATTTCCAGAGAAAATGGGGAAGCTGGCTAAACAAGCATCAAAACAATCTAACTAGTCTGTCCAGAGATATTCATCTTAGACCTTCTGAAGATAATTTGCACTCCAAATTTAAAGAGCTCCTTAGTTGTAAGATTTCAGAATTCTCATTCAGCAAATCAAATGATACATAGTGATACTTCTTTTGAAAATTAAGAGGCTGTAAAGTGTTGATGTCACCAGGGATTTAGCACAGTGGCACCACACTTGCCTTGCAAGTGCAAGGTCCTGAGTTCAATCCCCGGAACCAGAAAATAAATAAATAAATAAAGCATTGATGTTATAGCTTTGGGTATGAAAGCTTACTGAAAATCTAATAAAACTTATTTACTTCAATGACCCACTATCAATCAATGAAATTGAAAACGTAATTAAAAACTTACCAGCTAAGAAAACCCTGGGTCCTGATGGCTTCACTGCTGAATTCTACCAGACATTTAGAGAGGAACTACTGCCACTACTGTTTAAACTCTTCAATGAAATTGAAAGGGAGGCAATACTCCCAAATTCGTTCCTGGAAGCCAGCATCACCTTGATCCCCAAAGCAGAGAAAGACCCAACCCCCAGCCGAAAAAAAGAACTATAGGCCAATCTCACTAATGAACATAGATGCAAAAATCCTTAATAAGATACTGGCAAATAGAATGCAGAAGATCATCAAGAAGATCATACACCCTGAAGAAGTAGGATTTATCCAAGGGATACAGGGATAGTTCAACATACACAAATCAATCAGTGTAATACACTATATCAATAGACCCAAGGACAAAAACCATATCATATGATCATCTCAATAGATGCAGAAAAACCATTTGACAAAATCCAACACGCATTTATGATAAAAATTCTCCAAAAAAATTGGAATAGGTGGTCTCTACCTCAATCTGATAAAAGCCATCTATGAAAACTTATTTACTTCAATAAGAATACCCTTTCTAAACCACATGATATTAACTCATTTTGTTAGACTCATTCAGTAATTGATTCTGAGTCTGGGTCCATTTAAAAAGTCACTTCTAGTTATTATGTTAGGTCAGTCCAAATGAAGTTGCTGTTTTTAGTAGACTAAAAGTGCTAGCATGTCAATTTTGAATGACACAAACAAATAAAAACAGCTTTTTTTCCTCAATGGAGCTATTTCAAAGCTTTACATATATTTTTAGAAGGCTTTTTTTTAGCTCTTTTGTAATCAACTTTCCCCTAGAAATCATGCATTTTAATCATCTCTGGATTTTTTAACATCTTTGTTTTTAAGAAAATCTTTCTTGAACAGCATGTGTCTTTGAAAGAAGTTTATCCTCTGGGATAAAATTTTCTGTAACACACATATCTTTGCATCTGTCCACACACACACAGATGCACACATGTGCACACACTTTCACACACACGCTATACACACTCACACACACATGCCTTCATGCACAGCTGGCATATAAAATACACTCGTGCACTGGGCCAGACACACTTCAGTGCAGTGGAGTCTCCCTTTTGAAGGTTCAGCCTGAGGCCATTTGTGCTGCAAGAAGCAGCAGCTGTACCCCTTCGAGGCTGGAATAGGGTGGACAAGCTGCCCTTCCTCTTAGTAAGGCTGAGTGTCACCACACATGTGGGCTTTGACCACACACAGTGCTCCCTTCACACAGATAGGCCACGAAGTTTGGATGAAAGCCCCAGGGAACATCTCTGGAAGGGTCCCCAAGGGCACTCAGGCAGAAGGGGAGGAGGAGCAAAAGGACAGGTCCCCTATAGTGTGCTGTTTAGGAGAACACAGGAAGGAGCCACGCAGTCAGACCACGGTGGGCTCTGGGAAGAACAGGGCTGGACCTTTATCAGACCGCATCATCCCACCATGCAAGCACTGTTCGATACACTCATCCCTTCATCCAAAGAGCATCACAAAGTGCCTACTATCCCTCCTCAGTTGTTGGCTGGTTGGGAATGCAGTTGAGAACTCCACAGTCCATGCCTCAAGGAAATAGAAGACAATGAGAGGAAAGACATTGATAATACAGAGCTAATTGGCATGTTTGAGGGCAGCGCCGGTGATCTGGGTGAGGACATCCAAACTAGCCAAAGTCAGAGACGAATTTCCCAACAGCCAGCAATTATGGGGAGATAGCTCAGCACTGGGGAGAGGGGATGCTATGCTGTCGTCCCAGTCACTGTCTGGGATATAGGACTTGCATGTCCTCTCCAACAGGACACCCAATGCAGGTGATTTGGAAGCAGCATTGCCCATGTTTGATGGCCTCCTTGGAGGATCTGGCTTCTGAACTGTAAACCAAGGAAAACACTCAAACCAGAAGAATAAGACCAACAGTCAGTAGCATGGTGTGCAGCTGATGTACCAAGTTCCTATATCTGGTGAAAGTTTTGAACAAATGGGTCCTCTATCCGATGAGCAGCTGCCTGGCCTGGGGAAAATTATATAGATCCCAGGAAAGTGTGGTCCCTACATTAGTCCTCTTGGGATGGGCCAAGAGAGAAAATGCATGGACAGGTTAAGGTTTAGTGGAAACAGAAACTCTTCAAGTTCTTTGCTTGAGTGGAATTTCAAAAAGAGCTGTTTGAGGAAACCATTATGCCTCCCAACTAACCTAATGATCAGGGACATGAAAGTTCCATTGAATGACTCTTCTTCCGGCCATTGAACATTGTGTTCTGAGAAGTGAGATGTGTGCCTCAATTCCTATTAGTAATGCCTGTAATCAGCAAGGAATAAGGAGTGCCCTGGCATGGCTTGCATTGGGGCCTTAGTATAGGCAGAGGCATGTTCGATTTTTGATTCATACTTTGGATATCTGTGAGGCAAGACATTCTCAGAGTTTTTCTTCCCCCTGAAGGGGATCATTTTCAGGCAGTGGCCCAACAACTTATAATACATGTCAAGATGGAGCCACCTCTTGGCCAGACTACCCAGTACTAAGATGAACACCTGAAGTTTGGCCAAGTGCATTATTTCTTGGGTTCCACTCTTCATCAAAGACATCTATCTGGCTGAGGGCTGAAATGCAGCAACACTGTCCCAAGCTCTGCCATATATGATGCTGAGCAGTGCCATTTGCATAGCCTATGAGGTCCTACTGATATTTAATCAGTCAATTTCAAGGGCTCCCCTGGTAGACAGTGGGTCTGGGAGGAGAGATAACCTCCCCCATCCTCATAACATCTGGCCAGAGATGGGGAACAGGGGAAGCCAAGGCCCCCTGCAGAAGGGATATGCCAGAGGGCTCAATCTGGGCTCCACCCTCTCTTGAGAGAACCTCGGTATCTGTGTCAAGGTTCTGGGGTGCTACTTCTTTGACTCAAAGCATAAGGGGTTGGGAAGGGAGAATGTTGTTTATAACGGTGTTTAGCATGAGGCAGTTTCTTGGCCAACTTACCGCTGCCACAAGGGCTGTTGACACTGCGGAGAGTCAAGCTGCGGAGACTGGAGAGAAGTTGACAAAGCAGTGAAGAAGTCACTACAAGCATTACTGGGAGTGTTTGTTGACTTTACTTTGGAAATAAAATTTGTCAGTGAGGAAGGAATCTGTGGCCATCAGAACCCTCCAAACACAAATAGCTGTTAGACTTGTGTCTTACTTACACCGGGACATAACACTGGACACCTGCAATTTAAAGGAGGAGAGGTTTATCTTGGCTCATGTTTCAGAAGTTTTAGTTCTTATGGGATTAGTGGCATGGTGGAAGGGCCCAGGAGGAAAG